AGGGCTTATTTCCACTTGTACATTTGCAGCAAGGGCTGATCCCAGTTCAAATCCGAAGCGGAGCGTGTCAGTGAATTTCCAGGGCAGGAGAAATCCTCTCTGGGAGCTCTCCCTCACGGATGGCTGCACAGCAGCTCCTAACACCCTCCGTCAGGAGGCTGCTCCCAGACTTGGTTGGGGACTCTGTGTCCTGCCTCACTTGCACGGGCACTGCCAAGGCCCTGGGGATGGCAGGGCACAGAGCTGCTCAATAATAAATGCTATTTTCTAATACAGTGGCTGCTGCCTCTGAACGAGCTGTGTCCGTTCAGATCTCGGAGCTGGGAGAGAGCTCCCCTTGCCCGACCTCATCAGCCATGCCCTTTGAAGTGTTCCTGCTGATTCCACTCCCTCTTTCTCTTCTGGTTTCCCTTTCCCTGGGGATGCTGTGCCTCATCTCCTGCCTCTGGCCCTCACGGACACGCACACACCATCCCCGGTGCTTTGTGTGCATGCAATCCCTTCCAATCCCTTCTTCCCCATCAGCTCCTTCTCGGAGGCATTTCATAGCTTTGATGAAGGAATTATTCTCTGCTGATGGGAACACAGAGCCCGCACGAGGCATTGGAGTGCCCAGCATTGCTGGCCAAACCTCGGCCCAGTGGTTGTTGTTTGCATCGCTCTTATCCATGCAAGATCCCAAATTCCAGCCCAAATCCCTCCCCTGGATTGAAAGCCCCTCACTCCAGGGCATTTCCAAGCCGTGGGTCCCCCCAAGCCCACCAGCCTTGCAATTCCAGCTGCTCTCCACTGGAAATCCGCAGCAGAACTCATCCTGCTCCCTGCAAGGCTGGGATTCCTAATCTCCCAGGGTTTCTTTTCTCCGTGTAAAATGAGGATTACGCTGTAATTCCTGCCTCACAAGGGGGTGCTGTGGGGATTGCCAGGGTTAAGGCACTCAGACAGCACCGAAAGGCTCTTACCAACCCTTCGGCAGAGGGGCTCAGAAAAAACCCCCACTGCTGTTTGCAGCCTGCTCGCATCAGCTCCCATTAACTGGGAGGCAATTTTCTCCCCAGTTTAGACTTAATTCCTCCTCTAACTGCTGGCCCTATCCAGAGAACAGCAGGGCAGCAGCGACTATCAGTGCTGAATTGCCTTTTAAAATAGGATGGTGCCCGGAGGTCTGAGGGAGTGTGAGCTGCCTGTGCAGTGCATGTGTGCTGTGTGGATGTGAGTTCATGTAGGAAGCTGCACCGGGAGAGCTCACAAGTGAAGCCAAGCACGGAATCAGCTCGGGAAGCCCTTTGCACCTCTGATCCCCCATTGTTGGCTGCGCCGCAGACGCATTATGTGTGTTTACAGATGAAAAAGCAAAAATAAAACCGATGCCGGCTTTCAAATTCCACCGAGCGCAGCCTTCTGCACTGATTCCAAATGTTTATAAACACGGGAGTTAATGTAATCAGCACTGCAGCAAATACACACCAGGTACACGGCAGAGACAGGAGTGTCAAACGCGCTCCCAGCTCGGAGTGACAGCTCTCTGCTGTGGGCTCTGCAGCAAACAAAAGCAGCTGAAAAACCCCACCGAGGAATGCTTTAAAGAGCAATCCCTTCCCCCCTCCTCCTCCCCTCCTTCCAAGACTTTCTGGTAGTCATAACTGCAAAAATCTCAGAGAAGGTGTCCATTCCCACTGAGCCTTTCAAGTGGCAGGGAGCCACTCTTGGGAAGAGGCTTGGGAAGGCACTTGAGGAATTCCTGGCTCCCCTGAGGGACATCCCTCAGCCCAGCCCCGGTTCTGTGCTCATTCCACAGCAGCCAGGAGCTGCTTTAGGAAGATTTGGACAAGTCTGACTCCAGGAACTGTTCCACCCTGGGGAAGGATGTGCATCAGCTCGCCAGGGAAGATCCCATCCAGAGGAGCTGTGCCAGTGCAGAACCATCACCAACTCCTCATCCAAAGGAGTGGTGCCAGTGCCAGCCCCATCCCAGCCCCATCCCAGCCCCTCCCCGCTGCCCACTGCCCACGTTTTCCAGTGGGAAGGGCTTGGGGAGGTCCCATTCCAGCAGGTTGCTGAGGAGACGTTACCTCACACGGCAGCATCAGCAGAAAACCCCGGTGCCAGCAGAACAGCCAAAATGCTGGGAGGACCATGAGCTGCAAGCCTCTTGTTTTTTTTTTCTTTTTTCTTTTTTCTTTTTTTTTTTTTTCCCCAGCCAAATGTTGTTTCATGCTCTAATGGCGATTTTCAAGAGCAATATTAGTGTGACAACTTATGTAAGTGTGGGCCAAGTTCCTACACCACTTCCAGGGTCTGTGCCTAGAGCAGATTTCACAGGGGTGCACAGGAAAGGCTTTGGATCTCTGTTTTGGTGGCTACTTGCCACCTAAAATGAGATTTTTACCACCCCTAAAACCCAAGAGAGGGTAAATATCGCACTTTTAGAAATTATTTTCCTTGGAGAAGGTGGGGTTCCTCACAGCCCAGCTCTATCTGAGGCACCAGGTGGGTTGGTTTTTTCTCTCTTTGTTTGTAGTGGAATACATTTAGAGATTTATAGGAAGGGATTTCTGAGTCTCACAGTGGTTCATGTGTTCCAGCAGTAGGAACCTTGAAATCCCCTGTCTTATCACTGTAGAGCTCCTTTTCCACATGTGTGGCTGGGATGAGTTTTAGGAACCCACTGTTGTGAGGGGTAGAACAAGGAAGTAAAAAATGGGCTTAAACCAGCTGATCTAGCAAAGCAGGAGGCAGCTCCCCCAGCCCCTCAGAGGCCACGCACACAGAGACCTCCCCAAATTAAAAACAATATAAAGTATGATGCAATTAAATATGTTACATATTATGATCTTCCTCCCCTAGAAATAACAAAAAAACTGCCAAACCAGAGCATTCTGCTGCTGCCTCTCCTGCTCATGCCCGAGTCCCCTTGGGCTTCACGGAAATTTTGGACTCACAAAATGCTGCAGAACAGGGGCCCCCATGGCACTGTGTAATAAATCTTAGAAGTTAACAGCCAGAACTGTGCCAAATGTGATGGGTTTTGCTTTGTGCAGGATCATGAAAATAATACATTCTGGCTCAGTAAGTCAGGCCTCATGCACCAGGGCTAATGGTCCACTGCTGCTGCTGCTGCTGCTGCTAAATGGATTTACATTTTTGTCTCACATGGTTGAGGTCTGTGATGTGGGAAGCCAAGGCCCCAAGGCTCTATTGAATCTCCCCAGATTCTTGGAGGGAAATGCGAATTTTTCCCCACCTGAAATGCAGGAAGCTCAGAGGAGAGTTGAGGTGCGGCTGCCCCACAGATCTCAGGGACATCAGCTGAGGTGCAGTGACAACAGAATATGTGGGAGAAAGGGGAATGTAACACCGGGAATCATGTGAGCTGGAGCATTGTTAATGTGGGGAACTCCATGGTAACTCGGAGAGACCTGCCCAGGGGAACAATGTCTCATCGGAGGTATCTCTTTAATGGAGTTGGGAAAGGAAATAATGAGATTTTATGGATTAAAACTGAAATTAGACAGATAAACACTCCACAGGCAGGAAAACCAACCAGCAACAAGGATGCTGGGAACCCCCCACGGTCTGCCTGTCCACAAGGATGGGGGGTTGCCCTCTTGAGCTCAGGTCTGCAGCTTCAGAGAAGAGGCAGGAGGCAGAAACCATCCATTCAGCAGCCTCAGCTCCACAGGCAGGATGGCCAAAGGAATCCCAGCGGCCTTACAGTCTGCGAATCTATTAACTAAACCTCATTACTACGTAATAACTTTTGTTATTTCGGAACAAACCTTGTATCTGCCTAATCCGCTTTGTTACAGAGCTGCCCATTCTTCCCTTGAACAGGAATTAACTTCTAAAGGAATTAAAAGGAGGAGGAGACTGCTGAAGGGGGTCCTTAGGGGTATCTTTTTATAGCTGCTGGCTGCCCCCCCCTTTCCCTTTCCCACTATGTGTGGTATCCTTCCCCACTGATTCCATCCTTTTCTGCCTGCCAGGCATTGATTTGTTCCTGTGTTGTTCTAATGGAGCTTGAAATCAACATGACTTTGTTGTTGGTTGTTGTCATTGTTGTTCACATCTTTGTTTGGGGTTCAGCATCCTCGCAGAGGCCGGGGCAGCTCAGGAGCCGGCATTAGCAGGCTGAACACCTCCTTAGCGAGAGATCCACAAAGGCTGCCTCTGTGTCCACATAATAAAGGCTGCTACAAAGCGCAGCGAAACCGCTGCCCCCTCCTCCCGCGCATCAGCTCCTGTGCCAGCTCCGAATCCCCTCGCTCATCAGAGGGTGGCCACAACAGGCTCCTTCCCGCAGCAGGCCCCAGGAAAACGCTGTGGTGTCCACATCCCCGGCGTTCCGGATCGCCGGCTTCGCTTCCACGTATCCCACCCTCACCGCGCGGGGTGAAAAATGCGCTCAGTCGGGGCCCCCGGTGGGCGCCGGGCACCGCCAGAGCGGCGACCCGGGCGCTCCGGCGTGCCGAGGGAATTCGGGAACAGCCTCGAGTGCCCAAGCCCCGCGTGGCGAGGCAGCAGCACCTCCGCCAGCCCACGGCGAGGCGCGGCGCGGCCGGACACGGCGAACAAAGCCCAGCTGCCGCCAGCTGCCAACATCCGGAGGGGCGGGCGGCCAGCCCGGCCACCCGTCCCGCCCTCGCCGCGCATCCCCGGGAGCCGCCGGGCGAAGGGTTAACGCTGCGCCCTCCTTCCGCCGAGCGCTGACATCACGGGCCAGGCTCCTCCCGCCAGTGTGTGCGTGAGTGCGAGCGCGGCCGCCGAGCCCCGCACCGGGCACCGCACCCGGGCACCGTGAGCGCCGCCGGGGCCCCAGCGCAGGGCGGGCAGCGGGCGGGGGCTGCCGAGCCCCTCCGCCGGAGCCACGGCACCGCCGCAGCCCGCCGAGGGCTCTGCCTCGCCGCTCTTTATTTGTTTTGCCTCCCCCCTCGCTTTTTTGTTTGGGGTTTCTTTGGGGTGATTTTTTTTTTTCCTCCCAAAAAAAAAATTTTTTTTTTTTTTTTTTTTTTAAATCGCGTTTTCCACCCCCCCCTTCCTTCTCCTCGTCACTCGCCCGGGCTCTGCGGAAGGAAGAGCCCGCTCTGCCCCGCGGCCGGAGCGCCCCGCGCCCGCCCAGAGGGGCCCCGCGGATGTGCGGAGCTCCCCCCGGAGCCCTCCCGCCCTCTCTTTGTCCTCACCCACCTACGATCTTTTATTTTTATTTTTTTTGAATTTTAATTTTTTTTTTCAAGCAGACCTGAGCATCACCGGGGGCTGGGAGGGTGGGGGGCCCCGCGGCGCTGCCAGACCGACCCCTGCCCATCGCTCTTAAGGAACTCTCATGGCTTCACGGCTGCAGACAAGTTGCCGTGCATCGTGCTGGACTATCGGAGTTTGCATCCTGGCAGCCGCGCTCCTACCAGGTGAGCCGGTCCCCGGAGGGCGCTGGGCTCCGCTGGACGCAGCCCCGGCGGGGTTTGCGGGGTGCCCGTGGGGGACAGGGGGTGCGGGGAGTGCTGCGGAGCGGCGGGGAAGGCTGGGATCGGCGTTTTGGGGTGCGCGCCCGGGTCTGGAGCAGGTGTGGGAGCATCTGTGCGAGGGTGGGAGAGAGCCGGGGCCGGGTTCAGCGCCGGCTCGGCTCGGAACAGCACGCTCGTTTGTTTTGGAAGCAGCTGCAGGCAGCGGGCTCCGGAGCCCGGCGAGCCGAGGCCGTTTGTTTGCTTTTTGGATCGAGCAGCGTCTAGCGAGGCGCAGCAGCCAGGCTTCCCCGGAAAGGCAGCCACGAGGCTGGGCACGGAGCGCAGATGTTTCGGGAGGAGAGACGGAGGGTTTCGGCTCTCCAGCATCCCAAAAATCCCAGCTCCCCTCCGCGCACACTTCCCACGGGCTCTTTTGCGGAGGGGCTGGACCGCTCCCAGCTTTCAGCGCTTCCTTTCGCTGCCTTGGAGCTTGGCTGCCTGATGGCATCTTATTCATCCCTTTGGTTCCGATCCATCCCTTGGGTTCTGATCCGTCTCTGGAACGGAGGAGATGGGCAAAGACGCGCATCGGCTGCTCTCCAGCTCGCTGGAGCCACCCGGGCGGTGGCAGAGCAGTCCGAGTGTCCCTTCGCTGGGCTGGGACCTGCCCCGGGCTCAGCACAGCGCTGGCCAGCGGGCGAGTGACCCACTTCGGCCAGTGCCCTGCGGGGACTCATTTATTCTGCTCCAGCGCAGAACGGGTTAATGCCATCCTGGAGGGCTTTCCGGGAGCCGGAGCCATGGAAAGGGGATCGGCAGTCTGCGTTCACAGCTTGTGAATGAGCTGAGAGATGCAAACAGAGCCGGTGTTTTGCCTCTTGGGTGGCTGGGGCTGGAGCGCTGGCAGCGGGCACAGGAGCGGGTCCAGCCCGTGCCCGCAGCAGCGCTGGCATCCGCAGCTGGAGAGAAGTTGCGGTGAAAGCAGGGTGGAATTGCGCCCACTCCTCCGGTTTTGGGGCTGGGGCAGCGTCCCAGAGGAGCGGCCGGGCTGGCTGGGCTGGGACTCGGAGATGTGGCCGCAGTGAGCGAGGTGTGGGCCATCAGACCCTGGCAAAGACGGGGATGTGATAACATCGGGACGTGGGAGATCAACAGATCTCAGCTTGGTCTGCTTAAAATGGATGAGGACGGAGATGGAATGGGAGGGGGTGGTGATCCAGAAACCAGCGAGGCTGTGAGAGGGAAAAGGTTAACAGGGCGATGAGAAAGCAGGGCTGGGTGCACCTCGGTGTTCCCAGGACAAAGGGATCTGCTGTGCATTGCAAAAAGGGGTGATGGAAGGGACAGCCTGGGGCTCCCCGCGCTCCTCTGTGCTCGCAGGCAGGTGCCTGCCTGAGCTCTGGCTCCTCACAAGGAGTCTCAGAACTTTCCATGCCGTTCTTCTCCCGGCTTTCCCTCCTCATCCTCCCTCCCGGCAGCCCCGTGCAGGACCCGCTCCCCACAGCCCGGGGCGAAGGTACTGGAGGGGCAGCAATGCTGTGGTGGCTGTGCTGCCTAAACCCAAAGGACTTTGTGCTCCCCTGGGAATTGCTTTCACCAAGGAGACACGCAGTGACCCTGACACAGCCTGGCATCTCACCTTGTCCTGCCAAGAGTGACTTTTTCCTCCTATTTTTGGCTGTTCTCAGGGCTGTGCTGCCAGCAGCCAGGCGGGCTCGTCTCCTGCCACTGCAGTAGCGTGGCAGTTTGTCTTGCACTGTCCCGCTGACAGCTCTGCCAGGATAAGCCAGTGGTGCATCTCGTGGTGCCTTGCCAAGGCCAGGGTACAGCCAGCTCCGCAGTGTTCCAGGAGGATCATCCTCCCTCCAGGAGGATCATCCTGCCCAAACCCTGGCCCTGAGCAGCGGTGCCCTGCAGCCTGTGTGGGCGAGACTCTCGGCCCGACCAGTTTAGTGGTGGATGCACCACAGCTGCAGGAGTGTCTGATCCTGGATATTAAATATTTATTCATTTATTTCCTTCATTTGGGTGCTGTGCATGGACCCAGACACTGCTGCACAAAGCAGAGAGTCTTTACCAGACCCCACATACTTCCTTGAGTTCACACTGCATTTTGCCAAAATTATATCTATAAACATATAAAGCTGTATTTCAACTTTGAATACAGACAAGCTTGCTTAACAAGGGGAGGAAACTCAGGATTCTTTACTACAATGAATTAGTAGCTGTGGACTTGTTGGAAAATGTGGTTTTGTACCCAACACCTGAGAAGGATCAGAGCAGTGCCTGCTCTCTGGAAAACCTTCCATGTCCAGCTGATCAATGCCATTTCATTCTGTTCTCACCCACCTCCCCCTTCAGATAAATGTTAGCTTTTTTTCTTTGCTCTGATAAGGAAATAAAAGTTCCGTCACTGTAAAAGCTGTAAGGAGTCTCGTATAAAAATCTGCTTTACAAATTATCTTTAATGTGAGCGGTTCAATCGTCCAGAACGGATTCAATTCACGGTTCCTGCAGCCTTGCATGCCCATCCATTTGGAACCAGGTATCAACTCACGCTCCATTCAAGATATTGATATCAACAGGGGTTACAGAAAGCCGTGGGGGAAGGGGAGGAGAGATCCCAGGCAGCTGATCTGCAGAGGTTAGGAACGCTTGCAGTTCAATTTATGCTTTACAAGCCTTGACAATCTGTCTGTTTATCCCCACCGTGGAGCTCCTGCAGCTTGAGATGCAGCCACACAGAGCAGAGGCATCATCCGTGCCTGGTCCTGCCTCTGCACATCTGGGCCTCCAAATTCCTCTCTGCTATTGCTGGGCTACCTCCTGATCTCCCAGAGCGGCCTGGGAACACTTTCTGCCAAGTGCTTTGAGGTGCTCCACAGGGGAGAGCTGCAGAGGTGGCTGGGGCTGCTTTGACACGGGCTTTTTCCATCACGGTGCTTGAAAGGAGCATTGGCTGAGCCGTGGTGACCTGCAGGGCTGAGGTCAAACTCGGCTGCAGCTGGAGGGAGGGTTCATTTCGGGGAGGTACAACAGCTCTCTGGAGCGCTGGGAAGAGCCAGAGCATGTCACTGCAGGATCTGCTCCATCTTGTACTTTTAGAGCTGCTTTAATATCCCAAAGTAGCTTCCAAAATGAAAAAAAAAAAGCTGCCCAGAGTCTCCTTCAGCATTTGGATTGAGTTCTTGGCTGTTATTTTTTCTTCCCCCGCCACCTGCCTCCTCCCAAAACTCACAAACAGCAGCATCAGGCTATTTCAGGAAGCCAAAGCATGTCTTTGGCTGATTTTTTTCTCTTTAAACCTCACTTAAACCGACCTGTCGGGTTCTACCCTGTGTGAATGGAGGAGCTGCTGAGTGTGTCAGCGTGGGTGAGGCGCCAGGCTGGGGCAGAGGCAGCTCAGCCCACGAGCAGGGGGTGTCTGCCCCATGGCAGGGATGCTGTTTGCCCCCTGAACCAGCAGCGTTGGTCAGGCAGGAGCTCCCAGCCCACTCCCAGGGAGATTCCAGCAGCACTTCCAGTGCTTGGAACGAGCTGGTGGCTGAGGAGATGCTGGCACATCTCTCCTTGCATCACCCCTGCTCTGGGCTGCAGCTGGACCAGCCACAAAAGCCAAGCTTAAAGGGAGGCACCACAGGGCTCCTTTGAGCAGGGCTCACACCTCGGCTGAATCATGGAAGGAACCAGAAGAGCCGGTTGTCCATGACCTGCTTCCCAGGCCTGGCTGCCACTCGTGCCCTCTGCTAGTGCCACTCAGGTTGGGGACAGCCTGGGGGGACAGCAGCAAGTGGCCTTTTCCCACCTCTTCCCACCTGGGGAGTCACACAGAAGACAGGGATGGGGTAAGCACTGCAGGAAAAAGGGGTTTTAATCCCAGAATCCACAACGATTTGGATTGGAAGGCACCTTAAAGGTCATCTCCTTCCAACCCCCTGCCTTGGGCAGGGACACCTTCCACCAGACTAGATTGCTCCAAGCCAAACATTTTGGGAAGAGCTGGAGCTGGGCTGTGTGTGAGAGCTGCAGGGGTGAGTTGGTCAGAGCTCAGGATGGCCACAGTCCCCAGGGCTGCCAAGAAAGGGTTGAGTGTTGCAACATCCTTGCCCGAGGTGCTGATGGCTCTTGCTCTGTCCCTTTCACAGGCCAGGCTGGCTTATCAGTGCAAAAAAGCAGAAACAAATGAGGGAGGGACAAAGAAAGGTACTCCAGTCTCACAGCCCCTGGAGATCTTGCTTTTTCAAATAACGTCAGATTAAATCAGGGCAGCTCTGCTGAAGGGTGAGCTGGTGCCGCCAGCCACTGGAGCAGGGACCCACTTTGCACTGGAGACACCTCTCTGTGTTAATTGTGTTAATTACCAGAGCTCAGCCAGCCCAGCACGGAGCTTTCCCAGCTCTGAACCCACAGCAGCCTTCCAGGTGAAGGTTTGTTTAAGGAATGGGAGGTTCATACACGTTTCCTCCTGGCTGCTGTTAAGCCATGGATGTTCTCCCAGGTTTTGCCGGGCTTCTCCCAGTGCAGATTAGTCCAGGCTGGATTGAGGCACATCCCAGCACACACCCGGGGTTTTCAAGGGGAACCCCAGAGGGAGGAAGGAAGGAGAGGTTCCCCTCTGTCTCCATTCTGGGTTTAGAATCCCTTCTCTGTCACACGGGGAAATGGGAAGTGAAATTCGCAGCACGTGTTACTGTGCCCTGTGCTGCGTCCCTCCCTCCTTGTGGACACGTGGGGAGCCCAGCTCCTGCTCTCCACTGAGGGTTTGTCCTGCCTGGGCACTGCTTGCAGCCCTTCCCACAGACTGGCAGCAGAGCTGTGGCAGTTCCATCTCTGTGCAGTGCCAGGGCACACAAAGAGCAGCTCCTGGCCATGAGAAGGGGACACAGCTCCTGTCCCTTGCTGTCCCCAGCTCAGGGAGGCACTGGCCAGCGTGCTCTTGTCATGTCAGCAGCTTTGGGGTGCTG